TAAATCATAACTGAGCACTAAGCTAACAAGGCTGACTGAGGTTGTACCCAATTCAAAACACTACAGGTTCTCACTCAGGTAATCTGGCTTGACTTGTATCAATGGCCTTGTTAGCGTTATGAATTATTATAAAATATCTAATGAAAATACATGAAATCATTCTTTTTGAAGCATTTTCTTATATTTTTCTCGTTGATAGTGAAATCAGGGATACTTCAGGAATGCATGTACCGGTAATTTTTTCATGAATTAAAATATTCAATAAAACTTTGCGCCCACTCAAATTCTTACTTCAAAAGTTGAAAAGGGTGTGTCAACCTTTGACCAATGAAATCATTTACCAGAATTCTGGTAAGCCTCGTTATGATGTCAAAAAACGAAAGCACTGGGTTTGACCAGACTCTCTGTTCGGCATAGCTTGCGCAGGCAACAAGATTCTGGTTGAACGAGACTAGTCCACGTGGAGAACATCTTGGCCTGGTTTGATAACTTCATGACAGCTATATATAGATTTTCATGTTTTCAAAACATTTGAGCGACTAGGAGTAAGACCGAAAACCCTGATCCTTACTATTAGAATGGTATAGAGCGTTATAAATAGACCTGAACAGAATGGCTCTGTATAAGAAAAGTTATATAATTATGGTTCAGAAGCACTAGTCAGGTAAAATAAATGCTAGCAATAACACGAGACTTTTTACGTGTATCCACTCGATTAAGTAAAACACGGGGTCACACACTGTACGATTTGGCTAGAATGAATTTTACATTTTAATTTCGTTGGAGTGGATATGATGGATATATCAAGCCGAGGTACGTACGTGGAATGAACAAGAATAAGTTACGTTATCACTGGATAATAAATTGAACTTTTAAATGAGTTGTAATCATACATTGCTTGACAAAGGAAACCGACATTTTCGAGAGCTGGCACACTGAGTTTTCAATTCCTGTTTGTTTTCAAAACAAACTTAGCCTTTATGTTTCATACCAAACTGATGAATGTTATTCCGAACTCTTTTGTAACATTTAGACATATATTTTTAAAGTTAAGAGTAGAAATAGAAACAAGATAAAAACAATAATAACACGATAATAATATTGAGCCCCTACCAGGCTACCGTCAGGATATAACAGTCAGTCTAAACAACACGTACATTGGTCAGCCAACATAAGCTTCGACCGGACACTCACATGACAACGCCCACTGAAAACACAGACCAGTCGCACGGGAGAATGAGGAAGCAAAGAAAGAAGTATGAGCTGTACCAGCTTCTAGCTCCTGTACAAACTGATGAGGGAACGTGTGTACACGTGTTTTATTAACACCGTGAACCAATCGTGAGTGTTTCATGTTTCATGAAAATAACAGCCAATAGAAAAGAGGGACAGTTGAGAGATCAGTCAATCGAAAGATAGTTTAGAGAAGGCGCTTGGAGAAGAGTGATAGTGAAAACCCGTATCTAAATAAACAAAACTCTCCTTCCGGTAGCGGTACAATACACATCGACGACAAATGAAATATTACATTACACAGGTATTATGACTGAATCATCGATTTATTACATGTATACACACTACCTCAATCATTTCAACTTCCACACACCTCCCTTTCTTTTAAAAACAAATGTTGAGTCTCGAACTTTCCTCGTATGTACAATATTCTCATATTTAACGATATAGGACTCACTATCAACAGTTCAGTTCTGTAACAAAAATACGAATTTAGTATCAAAACTTCAGTTCTGTATACAAATATACAAAATCAATATTGTTACAATCGGTATCAAAAAATACAACTCCAACAAAATGAAATATTATCGGTATCAACAATAGAACTGCAAAACTGAAAAGAATTTCAAGTATTTATTATCAACATAAAGATACCCAGCTAGTAACACTCCCTGGACACATAAAACTCCAATACTTGGTAGTACACTATTGTCACGATGAACATAGAGGTTCACATGTCAATAGAGGAGTTCATGTATTATGGAAAGAAGTGTTTCGTCATCCATGTCCTCAAAATCCCTGAACTCCATCGACCGTCTCACGGGGATGGCAATACCTCTTGCCCAGAAATACCGCGCGTTAGGTACCCGTGCCCAATAGGGATATAAAGGAAATCTTTCGCATTCTGTACGAATGAAAGGATTTAAACCAAATGTGGTCTTGAGCATCATTATGTTTTAACCTGGACTGTGGCCTGCTGTTTGGGCAGTGTGATGGAGCCCAGTAGGCAGTGTGATGGAGCCCAGTAGGAGAAATAGAAGAACACATTGAAAATACTTCTCCTCTTGTTCCGATTAAAGGATTTTAACCAAACTTGTTCTAGACCATCTTTGGGCAGAAGGGATTCAATTTTGTTAATAAACAAAGTCATCTGCTTCCAATGGATTACTCTTCAGGAGTAAGTCTGTCAGCAAACTGCATCAGTTGTAGTATGGAATCAATAGTTGTATCCTTAGAGATAGGAGCATCAAATGATTTCGTGTCAACATCATGCAAACATCATTCTACCTTAACCGGCTGAAGTTCACAAAACACAGGTCGAAGCTGTATGGTATCATTCCTGGTTGTGATGTTGGATGTGGTCAAAGGAACAACATCAGTCCTTCTATAGAGGTACTGAATAATATATCAAACTCATCCCTCAATGTTGATTCCTCCAGTACTTTGAGATAAGCACTAGTTGGTGTATACTCCTCTTATCTTGGCAATCCACAGAGCCCTTAATCTCCACTTGGTTAGTAGGTTATAACTGAACTAAAGTACCCTCGGCACTCTTGACAAGTCCATGAAGGAAATTGTTCCATACCAAGTTTTGCTGTCGTAATAACATACATTTAAATGTGATATACCAGGACATCGAGAGAGAGAGAGAGACTCCCTTGAGCGACCTGTATCCATAACCATGCTTAAGGACCTGTCACACCTAGCCGATTTGGGTCGCCGGAGATATACCAGAGTACAAATTTGCGGGGATCGGTATTAGTACGGCAGCGAAACGGTATCACATCAGTAAGAACGGAAGGACATCGTCAGGAAATCGTCAGGGCATCGTCAGAACATCGGCGAAAAATTGTATACCGTACTGGTACCGATGTGATACCGTAGTACTACCGAATACCACCGAATACCACCGAAGTAGTACTGATGCGCCGCAGATGTACTAACGATGTACTACCGTAACATCGGCAACGTAACGGTATCACTCCGCTATAGCTCCGGTCAACGTCGGCACATCGGTAGAACAACGGTGGCGCCTCGGTATAACATCGGCAGTAGCACATAGGCTCAAACATCGTTAGAACAACAGTATCACAACGGGAACGCCGGTATTGCTACGGTCAATTTTGATATTTCAAGTGTTTTTTCGCCGGAGCTCTGCCGATTTTCTCGCCGTTGTTGATTGTTTGCTCCGGTTTAGTCCCGGCGAGTTACATCGGTATTGTGTGACAGGCCTTTCACACGCATCCATGATGCCTGTCAAGATGTTAGTACCAATCAAAACTGGCACCCTGGAATTGTACCCTGTATCCGACACAACAAGTACATATGTAATAGCCCTGGCAACGATGATGTATGACCGTCGATCCCAGTCTCAATATCAGCCTTGATAAATCCATCATAGGGTAATATCTCTCCTCCAGCACATTCGATATCCAATATGTTGTAAAGGGACTGAGGTGGCAAATGGCTGGGGTAAGTATCCATGTGTCTAGTAATGCAGTGGTACAAACTCCTGCAATCTTAAGCTGTTCCTCATTACAGTCCCCATCCAACTCTGTAGTATCATTCGGAACATTAGGGCATTGTTGACTGATCATGCCTACTAGTAACCCTGGCCTGTAGTCATCCAAACCTTTAACGATATCCTGCTGTCCTCCCGATTCACTCGGTAATCACGCCTCATGTATTCAGATTGTCCAAATTTCCAGCAGAGTGGTCTATTCCCATCAGTATTTGTTCGATGTGGCACATCCTACCTACTATTCTGAATATGTTCCTCGGGTGATGCTTGGCAACCCTGACGTACTCCATAAGTGGACTGTCGACCATACACCTGTAACTGGGGATAATCCTATTCTGTTGTAATGTGGCCTTGTCCTTCTTCAATTTAGACTTCTCATAGGTAAAATCTTTTACCAAAAGCCTTCATTTCTTTAAAGTCATCACTGTGATTAATTGCTACTTTAGCAAGATTGTGCTTTTCATGTAAGGAATCTGCTTGCTCAATCTGTCGAACAGCAATACACAGCTTGTCATAGCCTAATATGGTACATGTATCAAACTTATGACTGGTGATATCACGTAACGACTTCTTAAGTCCTCGCCAGAATTAAGTACGCAACATCTCTGACACTTGTGCTGGGGTAAGTTCATATCTGGTCATAGCGTTCTCTAGTATGTCTTGAATAGGAAAATGAATTGGAGGTATCTCTCAAATTTTGGAGGTATTTTCATTTGTTTAAAAAATGGTTCACACTTCTCCTTCTAAAATACTGCACCAACTTAAATGATACTTCGGACACATAATACTTTAATTTAGAGAATGTGCATACAAATACTTGGCTTGAGCTTATCATTCTGAACTAATGTACTTCTTATTACACAGAATCCCTAAAACAAAATATAACAATTGGATAACCTCCCCTATTTTTGAAGTTAAGCCCGTTTGTTCAAAAGTGTTCTTGAAAGAAAGAAAAACTGCATTTCTTAGAGCAAGCTTCTGCCCTGGCGACAGTTTTAGTTAGGAAACTATTGAGATCCCCACCCAATGACCATGAAATGCATGGGGACTAAGTGTCTTGATCGAATCATGGAACGTGTCTATAACTGTGCTCGCTTCTGATAAAATACACTCATGCTATGTACCTATACAGTTGGTGAAATACTGCGAATCCATTGACATCATCAGCCGGGTCCATCAGTCTCTAGACGTTTCAACCCTTGTCCCGGAACGTCCTCGTGATGGTGGGTCGACAGTGGCGATCAACTCACTGCCCGTCAATGGATGGCTTCCAGTCTTTCTCCTCCCGTCTGTTCCACAACCAGCATGATGCGCGCTCGGAAGCCTCTGCTAGCCTGCGCACCGCCGTCTTGCGTGTCTTTCCAACTAATCCCACAGCCTGCAATGTCTTCCAGGCTGAGCGTGCCGGGAACCCTCTGCATCCGACCTCCACAGGAAACAGCCAAGTACGCCACCCTCGCTCCCTACATTGTTCCATGAGCTCCGTATACTTGGCTCTCTTTCTCTCATTGACCTGGTCGCACCGCTCCTCCAAGGGCACAGTCAGCTCGATGACTATAATCTGCCTGGATTCGGCAGACCATATCACCACATCTGGACGTATCGTTGTCTGTACCACGTCCGGAAACACCAATTTCTTCCCCAGGTCAACTCTCATCTCCCATGTCTCTGCCCCTTCAAGTATGCCAGTGTTGCCTGATGTTGCTTTCGTCTCCTTCTCCCCTGCTTTTACAAACCGGATGAAGGATGGTTTGTGCTTACGAGGTGGTCTCTTCTTCTTCCTTTCCACCTCAAGAACATCTGCCAATTCCCGAAGCACCTGGTCATGTCTCCACCGGTATCGTCCCTGTGTTAGCGCTGTCTTGCATGCCGAAAGGATATGGCCCATGGTCCCACGTTCTTGACATAGCTTACACTTTGGCTCTTCGACTAGCCCCCACAGATGAAGGTTCGCTGGCGATGGTAAAGTGTTATATACTGACCGCAACAGGAACTGGATCCTGAATGGTTCATAGCGCCACAGGTCTGTCCATGTAAGCTTTCGCTCCGGCAGCTTCCATTTCGTCCATGCTCCTTGAGAGCCCATTTCCACTGCCCTTGCTTTCCTGGTCCCTTCTTCTTCTCTGCGGATTTCTCCCTGTACCAGAGATCTTTTCTCCTTATCATCTGATCCTTCCTACGTCTGAAAATGCGTTGTCCTCAACCCTTGCCGGCCTAAGCAGGTTGCTCCGACGATGTCCCGGTGGCTTGAGAGCGCCCTCGGCCTGCTCCACAGACTGGCTTGCAGACCATTTCCTTCCTGTCCTAGTCTGGATTCCTGCATTTCTTATCTTCACGTCCTTTGAATCTCGCAGCGTCATCACTAGTCTGGCCTTTGTTACCTTGAACTCCTCCACCAACGATGACAGTGGGAGTTGCAGTGATGATGTCCGGCTGTAGAGCCCAATGCTGGAGAAGCTGGGCGGGACTTCAAGCCACCTCCGCAGGTAGCTGCTGATGGATCATTCCAGTCCACTGTTGTCAAAGGAACCTCATATAGCATCAGGGGCCACATGAGTCTCGGCAGCAGTCCATGTTGGAAGATCCATGCCTTGAACTTTCCTGGCAGGCCTGACTTGTCAATCTTTCTCATCCACTCAATTGCCTGCTTCTGCATGCTGCTGATGTTGCTGGTATCTTTCAGTGATGCATCAAACCACTTTCCTAGGCACTTGATTGGGTTGTCCGCAATTGATGGGATCTCTTTTCCTTGCACTTTCAGCTTGAACTGTTGTGTCAGTCGTCCCTTCCTCATTACCATGCACCTTGATTTTCTTGCCTTGAATTTCATCTTCGCCCATGAGACTACCCCCTCCAATGCAGACAGAACCCATCTTGCTTGGACATTGTGGTGGTAGTCACAGTCAGGTCATCCATAAAACCTCGATTCGATGGTTGGTAGATTCCTGATTCTGTCCTGGGCCCCCTGGTTTCCCGTCCTGCTGCCTTGATGATAAGATTCATCCCCATGACAAATAGAATGACTGATATGGTACATCCTGTCACTATTCCTTTCTCTATGTTTTGCCAGGATGTTGTATCCTCCCCGACAGTAAAGCGCACCTGGATTCCACTGAAGTAGCTTCGTACTATTCCCTGTATATGCTCCGGGATAAAGTAATGTTGTAGGGCTACTTCAATCAGCTCATGCGGTATTGATCCGTATGCGTTTGCCAGGTATAGCCACACTACTGTCAGATTCCCTCGGCTGGACTTGGTCTCTCTGATTAGTTGGCTGAGCACACTGGTATGCTCCACACAACCCGAAAAGGATACCTCCTTTCTGTACTGATGTGTCAATGTATCCATTGGTCATCATGTATGATGTCATCCTTCTTGCCAATACTGCAAAGAAAATATTGCCTTCAACACTCAGCAAGGAAATTGTCCTGAACTGCCCGATGTGTTTTGAGTCCTTCCCCTTTGGAACAAAACATCCCTCTGCCTTCTGCCAACATGGTGGTATCTTCCCCTTCTTCCACACTTTCCTCAGTAACTGCCATAGTCTCCTCAAAAGCCGTGGGCACTTCTTATACACTTTATAAGGAATTCCACTTGGGCCTGGAGCTGAACCAGTTCTTGCCTTCTTAACAACATCTTGGATCTCCTTCCAAGTTGGTTCCTTGGTGTCAAGCGAAAACTCTGGCGGCTCCTCTGCTTCTATCCGTGGACACTTCCCAAGTGGAATGCCCCTATCTTCATCTCCGTGCGTTTCCCTCAGGTGTTGCCCAATATCTGCTGTTGAACTTTCCAAACGGCCTGATCTTTCCCCTCCCAGCAGAGTCTTTGTAAAAGAATAAGGTTCCTTGATAAAGGACTCCCTCTTCCTTGCTCTATCCTTCCTTGCCTTCTTAACCTGCTCTGCTTTCCTGAGTCTTGCCAAGTTCTCTCTGATGTCGTCTCGCAGCTGATGTAATCCTATCCTCTCTATATCACTTGCCCTCCTGTACTGTCGTGTGACTGCTTTCAGTTCTCGCCTGAGTCGTTGGATGTTATCCTGTCTTCTATTCGGGATAATTACGTTCTTAGGATTTCTCTGCTTTCCTCCTAATCCAAATCGTTCCTTGCAGAATGTGTAGATGAAAGTTCCCATTGCCTCAACCTTCCTTTCTACGCTTCCCATTAGAGCCGACTCTAGGATGGTATGTAAGTCAGCATCTAAACTTCTCCAAGCTTCATTGTTGTTCATCTTTGGCCACTCTATCCTCAACCTTCGTGCTGGCTGTGTTGGATGTGCTTGAACACCCTGGTCGTGGTTTGTATCACTCAAGTCTGAATGGCTGACCTGTGACGAAACCGAAGCAGAGAGGTCCCCAACACTATGGGGTGCCTCCTGGCTGGGGTCCTCCTGCGTCTCACCAGAAATTACTTCTGAGCGCTGCGTCTGTAACTCCACAAGTCTGCACTTCACCCTTGCTTGATGAATCCTCAATCCCCGGATGTTCTTACACACCTTTCCGCACTGGCACTTTACTTCTGCTGATGCTCCTGTCAGCGTTGTTTGTACCAAACGAGTTTGCGTCCGTGTCCGTGTCGTTTCCGTTATATCTGTCCGTATAAGCCTTTCATCCTCCCCCCTCTCGGAAGGCTTTGGGGGTGTGTTTCTTCTTGTTGTGTTGTAGCTGGATTAATGATAGCCTGCTGGTATTGCTATTCCCATGGGATTTATTCTCTTGGTCATAAAATGCCCATGGAAATGGTAGAGACAGACAATCATATATGTAGTTGCTGGTCATGAAGAGATGGATACACATAGGCTACGACAAGAACTTTCAGGGTTCAGCCTTGTGTCTAAGATATATCGTTGGGTAGGCGAGAGTATTTCCATATTCTCCTGTTCGTTTAAGCTTACACTTCCACAGGGAAGCTTAGCCATGTTTAGATTACGTTAACCTGATGTTTCGATCACGTTGACAAGATAAGGGTGCGTGCCACTCGCTTTATGATATTTAGATCAGATAAATCAGGTAAGGGTGTGCGTCATTCGTGTGTGTTACATTTACATTACATGAACAAGCATATTAACATGCATCCCTTCTTTAGCTTAGTGAAATTTGACTGCGTATAAATGAGCGTCTACTCAGTGTGTGTCAAACATGGCGCCGGTCACGGTTCAGCGAGATAACAGTCCGATGGCAGTCATTGCTGGCTTTCTATGGAAACATGGCGCCGGTCACGGTTCAGCGAGATAACAGTCCGATGGTAGTCATTGCTGGCTTTCTATGGAAACACGGCATATACTCGGGATCCATTATGTCTAATCATACAATAAAGGGATGTCGACAAACTTATGCCATTGATGCATATTCAAATTTCCTTTAATATAATAAATGTATTTATAAAAGCATTTTAATTTCAGAATAATTGAATGAAAATAAAAGATAGGAAATCGGCTTGAAATATACAGTATAGTGGAAATATGGATAGGGCGGTAGTTTAGCCTGTAACTGACATGTACACGCATATATAGTTTTAATCAGAACACCATTATGTATTTAGATCTAACGTTAGATCTGCGGTTTTTTTTAATGTTTCCATTGGATTTTCCACTGTTCCTATTTATTATTAATAGCGAGCGCAGCGAGCTCTTTTTGTATCGTATGTGTGGTATATACATAGTTCAAGCAAAAAGCTATATATAATAACACAAAACGAAACTACAATACTATGCGATCTTTTTTCTTTGTATCGTGCAAAACGGAGTTCAAACTTGCGACGCTCTGATTGGTTATTAATAGATCAGAAGCTCAGATATCACCGTTTTAAACATCTCTGTGGGAATAGAAAATATGTTTCACATCGTAACTTATTTGCGTGAACTTTGCAAACGCATTCATTATGGTTTGAAATGTTTCTTTTTTAAAACGTTTTCGACGTTTTTGACAAATCAGGTTTCGCAATAAAAATATTTGCGGTTTGAAAGTCGCGGGCTTCAAAATTTGCCACATTTTGATAGGTTGAAAAGACCGTACAGATCAACTTCGCCGGGAATAGAAACACGGGAGGACAAGGGCCTATCCGATATCAAATAATCAACAAGAGTACTATGGATCGAATTTTACCAGTTTTGACCTCTTACAGACGGGTATTATGTTTGACTCAAATGCCAACCAAGTTTGTGTTTGTCACTCTTTCAACAAGAAAACAACCGTCGGCTTCACAAAAGATAGGCCTGTGCAAGTCTAGTCACTTCAGTGCAAAGGAGAACCGGTCAGACGAAGAGTTTCTTTGTTTATTAACGACAATGCTGGTGAGCCGCCTGAGATACATGTATGTACGCGCATGTGTGGGTTAAAGGTAAGTATGCGTAGCCTACTTTGTCAGTTCATGTCTGTGTCACAACACGAATCCCCCGTCGCACATACTGATATGGGTCACAGAACACATAATGCTGAGACCCATATCAACATAGCATATATAGTGTATTTCAGAGGTTCAAGATGAAAAGTCGAGGGGGATTCGAGATTCATTTATATATAATAAGGCGGCAATTGCTGGTAGTTTGTAATCGGTTAAGATGTACAAAATGTATTTAGACGTGTTGAAAAAAGTTTCTTTTTGCAAGTTNTTTCTTTCCGCTTAGAAGGTATGACATCTAGTTTTGAAAATTCTATTACCTGCCTACGTTATCAATAGACGTTCACAGTAATATTTAATACGATTTCACTGTTTATTTAAGCAGTTGGTCTTAATTGAAGTAGGCCTGTCATATCAATGTTTATGCCAGTGGGCGTAGGTTTCAGCTGTCGTTCAGTTCGATCACGGAATTAGATTAGAGCCGTGGTTCGACATACCGCTGTTTTTATGTGCAAAACAACGGTCATATTTTTGTGTACAATGAAGAACAATTATTTCTGTTTCTTTTTCACTTTTTTTCACAATGAGCAAACGTACACATAACTTGTCATAACTATTAAAATATTTAAATATGGGATGTTGGATGTGAGTCAATTGTGAACTGGGTGCAATGGGTATCTTGCATAAGTCATGTATGTTAATTGAAACTTGTTTCGCCGGCTGTCTTTGTCATTTCTGCCTTTTTATTTTATTAACCCACACATGTACATGCAATGTTTGTGGCAGGTATGCATAATATAACCAATCCATTACACTAGACACGTATTTTGATTTCAATCAAGCAGATTTGTACTATACAATTGTTCTAAATTTGATAACTGGTTATATAAATATATAGTTTACTAAACAACAGTATGAAACAGGCTGGCTAGAGTTTCCTATGATCCCAGCACTCAGACTTTTGACAGATTGATGTGCATGTGTTGGGCAAACATCTGTCTGTCAAAATTACAAAAGTCTGGTA